TGATGGGAAATCATGGGTTTGGTTGGTAAATGTTTCCAGACTCTGGAGATTCTCATGAGAATTAGGGGTTTCTGAACTAGAGAGTGATAATTCCAAGTATTAACCAAGGGTTATTTGAAAATGTTTTCTGAAATCTCCTTAAGGCCTATGCTTCTCTTGGTGACATTGCTTGTTTTCATAAAATGTTTCTTTTAAAATAGGCAACACTCCATCTCTGCTTCACCCTTTATTCCCAAGGTATCTACTATTTTTATTCTAAAAAATAAACTGACTTGAGTGAGGTATAGTGGAGTGCACTGAAATCCCAGCTACTTGGGAGGCTGAAGTGGGAGGATTTCTTGCATCCAGGAGTGTGAGAATAGCTTGAGAAACATAATAAGACCCTATCATTAGAAACATAAAAAGATATATAATAAACTGACTGGCTTTACATGACACATACACTAAACAAACTATGAATAGAGGGAAATTACTAGTGAGGTGCAGTGGCTTATACCAGCAATTCTAGCACTCTGGGAGGCCAAGGCAGCTTGGTTGCCTGATCTTATAATTTCTAGAACAGCTTGAGCAAGAGCTATACTCCATTTCTACTAAAAGTAGAGAAAACTAGCTGGTCATTATGGTGGGTGCCTGTGGTCCCAGCGACTCAGGAGGCTAAGGCAGGATTATCTCTTGAGACCAAGAATTTGAGATTGCAGTGAGCTATGGCATCAGAGAAAATTACCCAGGCTGACTGAGTGAGACTCTGTCTCAAAACAAACAAACAAACAAACAAACCCAAAGGAATGACCTCATCATAAAAAAGATCATATAGATCAAACCCACATCTAATATCATGCTTAACTGGGAAAATTTAAAAGCCTTTCCTCTAAGGTCATAAATAAGGTAAAGATTTCCTCTCTTGTGGCTTTAATTCAGCATAATACTTGAAGTCCTTGCCAGAGGAATTAGGCAAAAAAAGAAGGAAGAAGCAACCAAATTGGAAAGGAAGAAGGACATTTTTACCTCTCTTTATAAACTACATAATCTTCTAGATAGAAAACCAGAAAGAGTTCACCAAAAAATTCTTAGAACTAATGAATGAACTCAGTAGGCTTACAGAATACATCAGTTGTGTTCTTATACACTAACAATGAACAATCCCAAAAAGAAATTTAAAAAAATCCCATCTACAATACTATGAAAAAGAACAAAATACTTTGGGATAAACTTAACAGAAGAGGCAAAAAACTTGAACACTGAATAGTACACAACACTCGTGTAATAAACTAAAGGCATAAATAAATGGAACATCATCCTGTATTCATCAATTGTGAGACTGAATGTTGTTAAAAGTTCACACTATCAAAATGATTTAAAGGTTCCATGCCATCCCTACCAAAATGCCAAAGCCATTTATTATAGAAATAAAAAGAATTCCAAAGATTTATACAGACTTCAAGAGATCCAGAATAGCCAAGACAATCTTGACAATGAACCAAGTTGAAAGCCTTACACTTCCTGATTTCAAAACATATGATGTCTGACAATTAATTCTGTAGACTCGTCCTAGAAAAAGTGCTACATGCCTCACTGCTGAATACTGCTGTGGTCACCTTCAAGCACTCCCCTTGGGAAGCTGCACATATACACTGATGTCAGTGCCTAATCCACCTTTCAAAGCAATTTGGGAACTCTGTTTCTGGAATGGGCATTAACACCGTCTTCCTATTACCCTTGATGTCATCAACATATCTTCCTTTCAAGACTTTCTTTCTCTTCAGGTATGAAAAAAGTCATTTGGGGCCAGAACAGGTGAGAAAGGAAGGTGTTCTAGAATAGTTATTTGATTACTAGCTAAAAGTTCCCTCACAGACAGTGCTAGGTGAGCTGGTGCATTGCTGTGATGCAAGAGTCACGAGTTGTTGGCCAAGATTTTCAGTGAAGAGTTTCCTAACATGCTTTCTGTTGTTACTTACTTGGTCTCCTATGCTTCTTGTAGCCCGCTGACAAGTGTGATGAATAATTTGACAAAGTCTTGCAATGCTTTTCTGGCCACCATGACCTCACTTTGTCGGTCATGGTTTCTCTCCCATAAGAAAAATGTTGAATTTATTTATACATTGCCATTTTTAATGGCATCATCCCCATAAACTTGGGCCAACACGTCTTTGATTTCACCTCTACTATTTCCAAATTCAACAAGAAATTTAAAAATGTTTGTCCATTGCTCTAATTCAAACACTGACATTCCAACAACAGCACACAAAAACATACAGGTCACTACCACATGTGGACACAATCGAAACTATGAGATAATGATATGCCATGGTTAGGAAACCTTACTGAGCTGTTTCCACAGTGTTACCAGTGTAAGTGCACAGTAGTAGGTTCATGAACTTAGTTTTCAAACCTTGTGATTCCAGCACTCTGGGAGCCTGAGGTGGGTAGATTGCATGAGTTCAGGAGTTAAAGACCAGCCTGGGCAAGAGCAGGACCCCGTTTCTGAGAAAAACAGAAAACTAGCAAGGCATCCTGGTGTATGCCTGTAGTCCCAGCTACACAGGAGGCTGAGGCAAGAGGATTGCTTGAGCCCGACATTTTGAGATTGGTGGTGTCATGTTATATGCCCAAGAGTATGAGGTTGCTGTGAGCTACAACACCAGGACACTCTACCCAGGGCAATAGAGTGAGATTTTTTTCTCTCTTTCACACACACACACACACACACACACACACATACACACACGAAAAAAAAAAAAGAAAAGAAACAGAAAGTTATATAGCCATGAGAATGAAAACAGTAATCCAGAACATAAACACAGATATAAAAACCAATGGAATGGAATAGAGAAGCCAGAAATAAACCCTTCCATATAGGGTACAAGGATCTTTGCCAAGGATGCCAAACCAAAAAATGGGGGAAAAGGACTGTTTCTTCAAGTAATAGTGCTGGAAAACTGGATACTCATTTGTATAAGAATGAAAATGGGCTCTTATTATACACCATTTATAAACTTAAATCAAAATGGATTAAAGACTGAAATTGAAGACTTTAAAGTATAAAACTCCAAGAAGAAAACACGGGGAAAAGCTTCATGACATTAAAATGAGCAAGGATTTCTTGGATATGATATGAAAAGCATAAACAAGAAAAGCAAAAATAGACAAATGGGAGGATATTGAACTTCAATCTTTGTAGCAAAGGAAATAATGAATAGAGTGAAAGGCAAGCTACAGAATGACGGAAAATGTATGCAAACCATGTATCTGATAAAGGGTTTATATTGCCAAGTACTGCTTGGCCTGTACTGATGTTGGCCTGTACTTCTATGTATTCAGGAGGCTGAAGTGTGAGGATTATAGACATTCAAGACCAGCCTGGGAAACATAGTAAGACCACTCTCTCAAAAAAGGAAAAAAAAAAAAAAAAAA